CCGTCAATCACCGCTTTACACAGTCGGTTATTCGTCAATAACAACTGTGATTGTTGTAAAACTGACAGCAAAACCTACTGTGGAATGGGCGTCTAACAATGAGCGTGTAATGTCGAAATTATTCTATCATTCAAACCTCAGTCATGATTGATCGAACTGATTGACGCTTGCCTAGGCGTGTAATGGGCGTCTAAGTGTGTACTAGCCGTCTTACACACACATCTTAGAAATCGACTTGGCCACATTGGTAAAATAGATCCATCTTGGGCCACAGTGGGAAAATCATCATTATCATCATCATTACAGCCCTTCACAAGTCCACTGCTGAACATAGGCCTCCCCCAAAGAATGCCACAAAGCACGGTCCTGAGCCACCAGCATCCATCGACTTCCTGCATATGTTACCAGGTCGTCACTCCATCTAGTGGGGGGACGCCCTACACTTCGCCCGCCGGTACGAGGCTGCCACTCGAGAACCTTTCTTCCCCATCGGTTGTCGGTTCTTCGAGCTATATGGCCGGCCCATTGCCACTACAGCTTACTAATCCGTTGGGCTATGTCGGTCACTCTGGTTCTACTGCGGATATCCTCATTTCTGAGTTTATCACGCAGAGAAACTCCGAGCATAGCCCTCTCCATAGCTCGCTGAGCGACCTTGAGCTTCCTCATCCGGCCAGCAGTGAAGGACCACGTCTCAGTTCCGTATGTCATCACTGGCAACACGCACTGGGTGTACAGTCTCGTTTTCAAGTTTTGAGGTATACCTGACGAGAAGATGTGCCGTAATTTCCCGAACGCTGCCCAACCGAGTTGAATCCGTCGATTGACCTCTCGGTCGATGTTGGACTTACCTAGTCGGACTATTTGTCCCAGGTAAACATACTCGTCAACAACTTCGAGCTTAGTGTTCCCAACAACTACCGGCATAGGTGTGACATGGACATTAAACATGATCTTTGTTTTGTCCATGTTCATCTTAAGACCTATCCGTTGGGAAACACTATTGAGGTCATTGAGCATAGTGCTTAGGTCCTCCAGCGATTCTGCCATAAGGACTATATCGTCGGCAAATCGAAGGTGGGTGATGTACTCGCCGTATCCTTTCCAGTCCAGAAGCTTGAAAACATCTTCCAATGCAGCGGTAAAGAGTTTCGGGGATATGACGTCACCCTGTCTTACACCTCTCTGCAATTGGATAGGTTTCGTACTCTGGTTCTGTACTCGGATAGCCATCGTAGCCCTACTGTACAAGCACTTCAACACTTCGATATACCGACAGTCAACTTGGCATCGCTGAAGGGACTGCAGCACCGCCCAAATTTCGACGGAATCAAAGGCTTTCTCATAGTCCACATACGCCAGACATAGTGGCAAATTGTACTCCTCGTACTTCTGTACAATTTGCCGAAGGGTATGTATGTGGTCTATGGTGCTAAAGCCTTTTCGGAAACCGGCTTGTTCGGGAGGCTGGAAGTCGTCAAGTCTGCGCGCGAGACAATTCGTAATGACTTTCGAAAACAGCGGCTCAGAAGAGAAATCGGTCTGTAGTTCTTCAAGAGAGCGTTGTCGCCTTTCTTGAAGAACAAGACCACCGCACTTCTGCTCCACGCCTCCGGTGTAATGCCACCATGGAGGACGGAATTAAAGAGCTTCTGAAGGACTTCAAGTACCGGTTTTCCACCCGCTTTCAGAAGCTCCGCTGTAATTCCATCCTCGCCTGGGGCAGGCTGGGGCAGTGGGAAAATACTGTCGGTTATACTAATCAACCTGTGAGTGACCGAACAATGTGGAACCTAACATTCGGCCTTCGTCACGCGACCGTACCTACTACGATAAATTAATCTTGCAGTGAATTCACCTTCTAAGGTTGGCTGGACCAGGCGATATTTTTTCTCACACGTCTCTTACCGCTTGCACGTGGCATCATCGTTTTACGCTTGACCTAGATTTGATACATTTAATCAAAAGTAGTGATTTTATTGTTCGTTAATAAGCACATGTATGATTCTAGATATGTGTCAAACTATCAAAAAATATAGCTGTTTCCTTATAGCTTATATTCCTTGTGGATTTCTAGATTCCCAGAACAGCTCTGAAATTAACAGGAAATTTTATGAAAGATACGATAGTTTAGACTATAGTGACATAGTAAAGTATCCTTCCCAAGATTTTTATCATAGATTCCACATTCAGTTAATCGTTAGTCTTCCATTTGGCGTTACTAAAGCGCGTTATAACAACGTGGTGAGATCTTAGAGTATAAATAAAAGCTTGCTTATAAATACTTTAAGAGTGAGGTAAAAATAAAATATAAAGTCCTATATATTACGTATTTATTTATATTTATTCAAAGGTACAATATATTACATCGTCTGAACTTCATTGCGCTCCAACATACGTCATATCCCTCATAATGACTAAGCAAATAAATTGTAAGGTAAAACGTGTCACGGGCCTAAATAAAATACAAAATTAAGCATATTCTTATAATCTAAATTTCTAATTTTATAGCGGAAGTCAATACTGTGTTGTAGTAAATAATACAAATTTAACCATGGCATGTAGATTAAATAAAGATTATGCATCTCATAAATTATGTCTGAATGAGTAACATGTCAAATAAGATTCGAGTAATCGAAAGATTACACGACAATATTTACACATATTATTATATTAATAAATCATGTATACAATATAGTATATAAAAAGAAACACACTATAGATAGATATATGATCTTTACAATGACTCAATACGAAATCCTTTTAAATCTGGATATTTGACGAAACAATGCTTACATTACTTGCATTTCGATCCTTGTCCTCTCTTCACCCCTAAAATACAATGAAACGCTAACACCTAGTTAGAGCCTATCTCACAACTGAACTATGAGCATATTTTATTATCACTAAGCACGATATACCGACGTACGAATTTGTATTGAACTTTAATATTTTTAGGCATTTGGTCGCACCGATTAAGCGGAAAACCTCCATCTAAATAGTAAAAAAGGTCTAACTTACATCAAAATTTAAAACCGTGTATGTATTACCTAAATGCAAAATTACTTGAGAAACAACTATGCAATTAAGTCACAAATCCAACGGAGATTTCAAACTCATTTTTTTTTTATAATTTATCACTAGCGTCATTAAAAATTTATTACGCTCTACATATTAGAAAAATTTAAAAGTGCCTAGTTTTTATTCACACACACATTGAGCTTCGTAAATCTATCTCGTTTCATATAAGAGGGAGTAGTCTGTTACAAAAAAAAATAATTGAAACGACCAATTATTTCACACATTTAAAGCTGACTATTATTACAAGCTACTTTGGCAACGTATTGGACGTTTACGTCTGGTCATGTCAAAATGTATGATTCAGGCTGGAATTATGCAGTCCGCTTGCTGTGTCAGCTATTTCATATCAAACCTATCACGTCACCAAAAATTAATTTTACGGAACGGCCCAGGGAACGCAAATAGAATATAGAAGCATTCTTAGGTGCAAGAAAAATGACCAAACTCAGTTGTGCTACTATCGTAATATTGATTATTTATAATTTGAATTGCGCACCTTATTACATAAACACTTTCCAGGCGACGAGTGACGCGCACAATATTAAAACGTTGTAAGCGACTTATATGATGTGTGGCAATTGAAACCAAAAACAAAGTCAATTTTTTACTGTCCGTCCCGAGTCGTAATAAAATCTCATAAAATGTTAACTAATCAGCAATAGAGTTTCAATGTTTGAGTTTGTTTGAAATATGCCCATTTTGCGCGCTTAAAGTAATCTTCCATGTTTTATTTCCGTTCACTAGAAATGTCATATAAAATTAGGCCAAACTTATGAAATAAATGCTTTGTCATGGAAAATGTCTTAGAGTTATAGTAACAAAAGAATAACTGACCACTGCTTTGTTTTGGTTGATTGTATGTTCGACATTAGTCTTAAAACGTTCCTGTAGTCTTTGATATCGTTGTTCGAATATTACAGCCGCATATGTGGGTAGTTTAACTTGTTCAATGAGTGTTCCGCACTACAATACTATTCCCGTCGCAACACTCTTAAAAGACCAATCTGAAAATTGGATAAATCATCGATAGTTTTATAAGGAGAACTTAATATTAATGGAATAATAAATACAGGTTGGCACTTAACCAATTATTAAATAATTTTGCAATAATTTCATACATAAAATGTAAGTTACTACTATCTAGTTTTGATAATTAAGAATTGAAGGAACTCTCGATATGAGTCACTATGAAAGTCCAACAATATTGCTGCTTATCAGCATTTATTATTTGGTGCAAATTGATTTAGTTCGTTCATTTCGTATGTTACATACAAAGAAATCCTTTAAGTGAATATATAAGCGTTCCATCACTCCTTAAATGAACTAAAACTAACAGAAATTAGTAAATAGCATTCTTATATATACAACATATAAAACAGATCCCTTTGATTAGTTATATACTCTCCCACAGTAAGCACAATTTCAAAATGAAGTAAGTGACATAATGTGAAACATCAAGAAATCTAGGTTAATTAGTGTTGAAAATATCATAATATACTTATCAAGTAAAACAAGTGGTTAAAGTTATGACAATCGTCATTATTCTGACAATGGCACTATATTCAAGAATTTTAGTAAATAACAATCAATCTCTTAAAATCTCATTGAGCTAACACGGAAACAGTATAGTTTAAAGGTACATTTTATACAGAATATTAGTGAGAAGTTTATGTAAGGAGTTACAGAAACCGAAAACAACGTGTTACCGAACACACCGGATAACTATTAAAATGTATCACATGTCAGATGACAAAAAACATGTTATGGTACAATTCTGATTAGAAGAAATAGTGTATAAGTATTCGAAACCATTCGGTTGTTTCGTACCGAGGTGTCGCGAAATCCGTCGACGCGGCGAGATGTTAGTCACGTGTGTGTTACATACGGTGGGTGTGAGGCCGATGCCATAAGTCGCAGGCCTAGAACAAACCTTTCTTTTTTTTGTCCTTTTTATCCTTTCCGTCTACCGTCCTGAAACAATATTAAACAAAATTACAAAAAATATATTAAAAGTAAAATATTTCAGCAACTACATTAAGGTGCAGAGTTTTCAAATATTGCAATCAAAAAGTTACTGAATGAGTTTTTAACCAACTTCAAAAAGGTGGAGGTTCTCAATTCGAGTGTATGTTTTTTTGTATGTATGTTTACGCGATATCTTCGCAAATAATGAACCAATTTTGATGATTTTTAATTAAATAGATTATACTTCAAGTGTCAAATTCCACCCCTAAGTATAACAAATAAATAACTTCTTTCGTGGCAATTAGAAGTCGGTTTTACTTTTGTTAAAGTTATAATTTGTGTGGGGGTAACGTTTTTTAAAACAAAAAAAAAATATGTATTTTGTGTATTTTTTTAATAGAATAAGGTGGACAAACGAGCACATAGTCCACCTGATGGTAAGTGGATATACTGTGGGTCCATAGACATCTTTTTTTTTCTTTTTTAAAAAACGTTACCCCCACACTAGGATTTTCTCCTGTATCGTGGAGGCAGTTTACAAACACAAATTGCACAAGGACAAACATCCAGACCCGAAACAATTATTTATAGGCCATACAAATACTTGTTCCGTGCGGGATTCGAACCCGCGGCCCCCAGCGCAACAACTCATTGCTAAGCCACTGCGCCACGGAGCCGTCATCTACATCTACATTTATTCTCAATTAAGAGCGTTGTCACCCTTGAGGACTAAGATGGAATGCCTCGTTTCCAGTAAAAACGAAGCCCCTATTTTAGGTTGGTATTCTGTGAGAGCGTAGTTCTACCCCGGTCGAGCCGACCCAGTCGTGCTGTAGCACGATTGGCGATTATTTTGTATTTAAAATATCTGTGTTTTGTGTATTAATGTGCAGTTGAAAGTAAAATACAGCTTGCTTAATATACAGACTAAAAAATGTAATGAGCTACGGTCCTATTTTGATCCTTGGGCGACCACAAATATTTTTAAAACTGCATTTAAAATAAATACAAATCGTCTGCGTACCTCCTAACTCGCATTTTTTCGAAACAACTTTTTTAACGTTTGACAGTGATCAGAACCAATAGAATGCATTAACCTCCAAAATAAAATACTTTTTTGTTTGGTCATAATCCGTTCGGAGAAATACCTTCTAAATATTACCGCCGTATTTTTGCTGGAAATTTCTAACAGTTTGCTCAAAGCGCGCGTACACGGCTATTCAGAATTCTGGCATTTGGCATTCATAAGTAATTTTTTGGTGTTTTTATCACTTCGTTGGTATTTACATTAGTGTTAAATTAAACTGAAGGTGTAGCACTGACTTTGTTTCATAAAATAGGTACGTATATTATTATTATTAGCTATGATTTATTTTAAGGTTAAAGTAATTTTGTCAGATAGGAGTAATTTCTTTGAACACTTTTTAGTTCAATTTGGTAAGTAACGTTTTCAATCAATGCAGTTAGAAGAAATCTCTTAAGAGTTTAATGCTTACTTTTACCTTCTTAAATATCTACGATATTTTAACCTCTCTGAGGAGTACAATCATAAATTATTTGGTATTTTGTGTAGTTAAAAGATAACTTATTAACTTCAGATTTTGTCATAATGGCATCAAGAAACAGGGCACATACACTCGTTTATATAATTTGCAATCCAACTGAACCAGAGAATATTGTATCCACGTCTCGCACACCTGTTTCTGTTTTGGTAGAGGATGTCCTAACAGAACCACATTCTTTTGAAAGGATTCAACCTCAGTTAGAGGAAATTTTACTAACTGCAGACAATGACCTCATTCAATTAGAAGACCTAGTGGCACTTGACTCACCGTCGCTATTAGAAACACCGTCTCCAAGTCCAACTTCACCACCCAATGATCGTGGCGTTTAGCAATGAATGAAGTTCTGATTCAGAAAATATTCCTTTTTTATAGGAGAGGGGGCAAACGAGCATACGGCTCACCTGATGGTAAGTGACTACCGCCGCCCATGAACAACTGCAACACCAAGGGAATCGCAGATGCGTTGCCGGCCTTTTAAAAGGGAGTAGGCTCTTTTCTTGAAGGTCCCTAAGTCGTATCGGTCCGGAAAAATCACTGGTGGTAATCGATTCCACAAGGAAGTTGTGCGATGTAGAAAACTTCTTCTAAAACGCACAGTGGTGGACCGCCAATCATCCAGATGATATGGAATGGTATCGCGAGTTTTGTCGCGATGTGCGATGGTGAAATTGAGCGGCTGCAATTAGTCCGAACAATTCCTCAGAGCACTCCCCGTGATAGATGCAATAAAATACACAAAGAGATGCAACATCTCTACGCAGTGCCAGTGAGTCAAGCCGATCGGAAAGAACTCGGTCGTCGACGATTCGAACCGCTCTGCGCTGGATGCGGCTTTTGACCTTTTAGGCTCCCTTTTTGCGTCCAACTCGACTCTTGATGACGGGGGAAAACACCGCCGACCATCCCGCGGTGTGAGTGCTCCATGCCGCATGTGCGGTTCTCACAGCGCTCGGTTCGCAAAGCACTCCTCTCCCTGGACATCCAGAAGTCGAGTGGGCCTGACGGAATCCCCCCAATTGTGCTGAGGACGTGTGCTCCGGAGTTGGCACCGGTTCTAACGCGTCTTTTAACAGCACAAAAAATTACACACTCTAATTCCCTCAAATCCTAAGACGGCAAACAACGCCCAAACTCGCTCACTCACTATTTACGTAATAACGAAAAAAAATTGCATTTATCGCCTTCGCCCGCTATTCCAAAACGTAATAGAGGAACTTTTATTGGTAAAGCATAAATACATAAATTGCAAATAAACAAATAGTTTGGAAAATCCAAAAATGCACAGCTCATGAGCGTTTTATTCAATGTTGATTAAAAAAGTAAATTGTATTCCTGACAATTAAAAACGATTACTCATGTGTTTTAAATTTAGCTCAATAAGGCTTCTACTTTTAAAAGAAAGAGAGTGCATACACAAACACGACAGTCATCGTCCGATGACGCACGAAATCGGCCGATCAACCGTCTAGTCCGAACTTGTTGGGATTTCTCGCCAGACTGCCGGCATCTACAGTGCAAGTTAAGTGTATTTATGTCTTAGATTATTTACTCTCTAGATAGAGTAACGGCGGCTCAAAAGCGTCGAAAAAAATATCAGCTAACTGTTAGCCTCTAAAGCAATCCCCGCTCCTCACTGTCAATTGTAACGCCAAGAGATACGGCTCATTTTTAGAGGTAAATTATTTTGGTGAAAATGCAAGATTGTGCGATCAAAATCTGCAGAAATTATAAAAGACGTTTACAAACAACTAACAAAATCTCCTACCATCGCTAAGTAATTCAAAACTAATAGTAATTTAGGAAAACAAAACTAATAAATTGATAATTTAATTTACAAAATCAACGCGTCATTTTTTGGTGTTGCCAGTTTTGGATTGAGAGTTTCCCCGTATATTTGTCTTAAAAGCTGATGTATGTTCATTTTTACCGACTGCACCAGAAGGAGGGAATACATCATGGTGTGTGTATGTGGGTATATTTCAAAAATTGTTTGGCTTAGCCTACAGCCTAAACGGATGGACCGATTGTGTTTGTTTAGCAAGCTTCCGCGCAGTCGGGTGTTTTTTATTTAGTCTAAAATATTTTTTCTTTATTTTTTCTCTTTTTTATTTGTATTACTAAATAGTATTGTATAATAATTGTCAAAATTTAATGTGACCATTTGAAGACATGATTTTAGGATACTTATTGATTCTATAATTAGAAGTCGATGGGTGGACATAATAAGAAAAAGCCGTGGAGAAGAGTACTGGAAACCATCCAAAACCACAGTGATATGCTCTGAACATTTCCGTGAAAAAGACTTCGCGTGTGGTTCTCTTCACCAAGTGAACCTAATAAGTTTGGTCGTCGAAAAATATTTGACCATACGCTATTATCATATAGCTAAATTAGATAATTTAAAAAGTGATGCAACCTCAAAACGCAAATTATTTAAAAAACAAATTCAAAGAGAGGGCCATTAAGTTAGTAGTTACAAACATTTAATGGTAAAGCTAGGTTAAAAATAGAAGAGACTACTGTGCTCCTGCGGTTGACCTTAGATGCAAAGCTTCAATGGGGCACCCATATATCAAGTCTTGCTGGCACAACAATGTAAGACGGAATAATTCTTCCCAAAATTATCTATTAAACTGTAGAAACGCTATGGGATAAAATTTTACGGTAAAAGGTACCAGCGGGATAAATTATTTAACTATGACGCGGGCGAAGCCGCCGGCCAATCTATTGTATTTTTATAAGTCGATACCATACATTAAATAATAAAACATATTTTGTAAATGCGTAATTGATTTTTAATTGATTATATTTTTTTTACAAAAAAAATTCGATTCTAACTCAACAGACAACTAAACACACAATTGAAAGCACCATATTAAAATATTATAATTTAAGAATTTATTAATATGACAATTTTACAGTTTTTCCCCATTTTATCGGGATAGATTCATTAGCTGATATCTCCCAGATACAAATGACGCTGGGGTAAGTCATAGTTATTTATTCTGTCACCATAGCAACCGCTAAGCGTGTGTGGTGCCTCACGCACACACGCTTGTAAAAACTGGCCTGTTTTTGTTGCATCCCTCATTGCGTGACGCGTTATCTAGAGAGTAAATAATCTAAGTACCTGGTTTAACTTAATCATTCTGTCTTTATTCTGTTGTTTCTGTCAGTGTTGTTATCTACCTAAACGACTATGGATATTGAAAAATTAATTAGTTGTGTTTATAATAGACCAACCCTGTAGGATAAACATTCAAAAAATTACAATTCTCGAGATGTTTCGAAACGGTTATGGGCTGAAGTTGCATCGAAAATAGATATAGCGGTTCCAACATGGAGCAAAAATGGAGCAACTTTTTTTAAATTTTAAATTCAATTGCGATATGAATTTTCTAAAAGATACATTTCTTCGAATTCCTCCATTTTAAAAACGTGTCTTCACTCTGTTTAGCAACAATCAACTACAGAATACCGGCAACGTCCAATGTCAGCACAAGTGGTACACTGTTGCAGTGTAAGCACATACACGTCCGAACTCGGACTACCCGGGCGAGTAACTACTCGTAGTAGTCCGAGGTAGTCCGATGTAGTTCTGTCCGCCATCGGCCGACAAAATCGGTTTTGGTGTACACGTAGGCGATAGATATTTATGAATGAACAATCAGTTACAATAATACATAACCACGCATTTTGAACTTAAAAACTTAAAAGGACAGAATATTTGAGATTTTTTATAATTAAATTTTCGGAGGCCGGTGTCGCGCTCCCAGGCGGCGCGCTCGGCCGCCAGCGCGCGCTGGCGCTCGTCCAGCTCGCTAGTTAATGTTAGTGAGTGCAGTAGTTAGTGAGGTGCGGTACTGACTCCTTGCTGTTGGCCTCGAGCGAGCGGCGGCGCAGGTCGTCGAGCGAGAGGCCGGTGTCGCGCTCCCAGGCGGCGCGCTCGGCCGCCAGCGCGCGCTGGCGCTCGTCCAGCTCGCTAGTTAATGTTAGTGAGTGCAGTAGTTAGTGAGGTGCGGTACTGACTCCTTGCTGTTGGCCTCGAGCGAGCGGCGGCGCAGGTCGTCGAGCGAGAGGCCGGTGTCGCGCTCCCAGGCGGCGCGCTCGGCCGCCAGCGCTCGTCCAGCTCGCTAGTTAATGTTAGTGAGTGCAGTAGTTAGTGAGGTGCGGTACTGACTCCTTGCTGTTGGCCTCGAGCGAGCGGCGGCGCAGGTCGTCGAGCGAGAGGCCGGTGTCGCGCTCCCAGGCGGCGCGCTCGGCCGCCAGCGCGCGCTGGCGCTCGTCCAGCTCGCTAGTTAATGTTAGTGAGTGCAGTAGTTAGTGAGGTGCGGTACTGACTCCTTGCTGTTGGCCTCGAGCGAGCGGCGGCGCAGGTCGTCGAGCGAGAGGCCGGTGTCGCGCTCCCAGGCGGCGCGCTCGGCCGCCAGCGCTCGTCCAGCTCGCTAGTTAATGTTAGTGAGTGCAGTAGTTAGTGAGGTGCGGTACTGACTCCTTGCTGTTGGCCTCGAGCGAGCGGCGGCGCAGGTCGTCGAGCGAGAGGCCGGTGTCGCGCTCCCAGGCGGCGCGCTCGGCCGCCAGCGCTCGTCCAGCTCGCTAGTTAATGTTAGTGAGTGCAGTAGTTAGTGAGGTGCGGTACTGACTCCTTGCTGTTGGCCTCGAGCGAGCGGCGGCGCAGGTCGTCGAGCGAGAGGCCGGTGTCGCGCTCCCAGGCGGCGCGCTCGGCCGCCAGCGCTCGTCCAGCTCGCTAGTTAATGTTAGTGAGTGCAGTAGTTAGTGAGGTGCGGTACTGACTCCTTGCTGTTGGCCTCGAGCGAGCGGCGGCGCAGGTCGTCGAGCGAGAGGCCGGTGTCGCGCTCCCAGGCGGCGCGCTCGGCCGCCAGCGCGCGCTGGCGCTCGTCCAGCTCGCTAGTTAATGTTAGTGAGTGCAGTAGTTAGTGAGGTGCGGTACTGACTCCTTGCTGTTGGCCTCGAGCGAGCGGCGGCGCAGGTCGTCGAGCGAGAGGCCGGTGTCGCGCTCCCAGGCGGCGCGCTCGGCCGCCAGCGCGCGCTGGCGCTCGTCCAGCTCGCTAGTTAATGTTAGTGAGTGCAGTAGTTAGTGAGGTGCGGTACTGACTCCTTGCTGTTGGCCTCGAGCGAGCGGCGGCGCAGGTCGTCGAGCGAGAGGCCGGTGTCGCGCTCCCAGGCGGCGCGCTCGGCCGCCAGCGCTCGTCCAGCTCGCTAGTTAATGTTAGTGAGTGCAGTAGTTAGTGAGGTGCGGTACTGACTCCTTGCTGTTGGCCTCGAGCGAGCGGCGGCGCAGGTCGTCGAGCGAGAGGCCGGTGTCGCGCTCCCAGGCGGCGCGCTCGGCCGCCAGCGCTCGTCCAGCTCGCTAGTTAATGTTAGTGAGTGCAGTAGTTAGTGAGGTGCGGTACTGACTCCTTGCTGTTGGCCTCGAGCGAGCGGCGGCGCAGGTCGTCGAGCGAGAGGCCGGTGTCGCGCTCCCAGGCGGCGTGCTCGGCCGCCAGCGCTCGTCCAGCTCGCTAGTTAATGTTAGTGAGTGCAGTAGTTAGTGAGGTGCGGTACTGACTCCTTGCTGTTGGCCTCGAGCGAGCGGCGGCGCAGGTCGTCGAGCGAGAGGCCGGTGTCGCGCTCCCAGGCGGCGCGCTCGGCCGCCAGCGCGCGCTGGCGCTCGTCCAGCTCGCTAGTTAATGTTAGTGAGTGCAGTAGTTAGTGAGGTGCGGTACTGACTCCTTGCTGTTGGCCTCGAGCGAGCGGCGGCGCAGGTCGTCGAGCGAGAGGCCGGTGTCGCGCTCCCAGGCGGCGCGCTCGGCCGCCAGCGCTCGTCCAGCTCGCTAGTTAATGTTAGTGAGTGCAGTAGTTAGTGAGGTGCGGTACTGACTCCTTGCTGTTGGCCTCGAGCGAGCGGCGGCGCAGGTCGTCGAGCGAGAGGCCGGTGTCGCGCTCCCAGGCGGCGCGCTCGGCCGCCAGCGCGCGCTGGCGCTCGTCCAGCTCGCGCGCCTGCGCCTCCAGCGCGCGCCGCGTGGCCTCGTGCCGCCGCGCCAGCTCCGCCTCCGACTCCTTCAGCTTCGCGCGCTTCTCGCGCACCTTCATCTCGAACACCTGCCCCGCAAACATCTCATGACAACCGCACCTCTCTTATCAAACTCGTACACTGGAATGCACCGCTCACACAATTACCTTTGTATGTTAAGGTGAAAGCTCCAGGATGCCCCCGAAATTCAAATTTCTTTGCGTTTTTTGGAATTGGCAGGTCAGAGTCAGGTTGTATATTTAACAAAATATGATTCGCGATCGTAACGAATATGTATTTACAGAATTATAATCATTATAATCATCAATACAACCCTCTAAGTTCGTATAATTCCATTGTATAGCCATTTCCAGAAAAACTCATTCAAAGGGATTGTATGAACTTAGACGACTTAGAGGGTTATATTGGTGATTTTAATGATAATAATTCTGTAAACACATAGTCGCTACGGTCGCGAATCATATTTTGTTAAACATACATCCTGACCCTGACCTACAAATTCCAAAAAACGCAAGAAAATTTGAATTTCGCGGGCCATCCTGAAGCTGTCACCTTAAGCGACCTGTATTTCACTTTCGATTCAAATATATCTCTATTTATAATACCGCCTGCCAAGCTTCACAACTACAGCAAAATCCCTCTATGAAGCAATCAATTGAAGAGGCATGTGTTCAGCAGTGGAGTTCCATAAGTTGTAATACGAGATAGATAGATAGATTTATAATATCATTAAACAGAACTTAAAGATTGTATCTACTTATGTACAACTTATCACACTCAATTGTAATAATTATAACTGTCTTTTAAAATGAAGTGACTTTCATTTATATTTCCTATTATTTTAAATTCCAACGCTAAAAACCTAAAGAAGCAGGACTGAACGATACAGAGAAAGCCTTTTTTTCACTATAATTTATAAAAAATATTGCGTAATCCCTTCATAAATTGTGACGAAGCTTTTTTTTTAATATTGTCGAATGATTAAAACCTCCATTAAGAACAATGAAAAGGAGTGTATAAAACTACCTCCGAAGGTGACACTGAAAATTCTTAGAAAATTAAAAACTGAACAAACTAGCAAGTTATTACTTTTATTATATCTTTTCAAAATAGTGTCCATTTACATAATACATCGCTACATCCGATGGAACCACAGAGAAAAGCACTTTGCCCACTCGTCCTTAGGGGTCTCTTCGACGGTATTTTGAAACGCAGCCACTGCTTCCTCGGTGTCAATAAAACGTTTTCCACGAAGTTTTTCTTTTATTTTCGAAAATAAATAAAAATCACAAGGTGCGAGGTCGGGGCTATAGTGACCCTGTAATTCCACGTCTGACGTCGCCAAGTAGTCGATTGTTTGCTTGGCGGTGTGCGACGAAGCGTTGTCGTGGTGAAGGAGGATCCTACTACGAGGTCGTTTCTCCCGAATGTTTTCCAAGAGAAGTGACAAGCAATTGTTAGTGTACCACTCTGCAGTAACTGTTTTTCGATCCTCTAAAACAATTTTTGCGTAATGACCTGTCCTCCCGAAGAACGAAGCCACCGTCTTTTTTCCCACGTTTCGACCTCTTTTCACTTTAGTTGGCAACTGCTCGGAAGGAAACACCCAGACAGCAGACTGTCTCTTAGTTTCAGGATCATAACAATAAATCCAACTTTCTTCACCCGTAAGTATGTCGAACACAGCATTTGAGTCACCTCCCTTAAATCCTTGAACCATTTCACGACACCAATCCACACGACGGAGTTTTTGGGCCTCTGTCAAATTATGGGGTATCCACCGGGCACAAAGCTTCAAGCTTGTTCATGGAGGACTTTGTGCACTTGACTCATACCGATGCCTACGCTTGTCCGAATCTGCTGATAAGTCACTCTTTTGTCAGTCTCTATCATACGCCGCACAACACTGATGTTATCCTCAGTCATCGTGTAGAAGGCCGTCCCTCACGCAGATCATCGGTGAGATTAGTGCGACCACGTTTAAACTCATTAAACCAGTTGTAAACAGTGGCACGAGATGAGGCTTCATCGTGAAAGACCAATCGAAGTCTATCATAACTTTGTTGTTGACGTAAATGACATCGAAAGTCATAAAAAATCCATTGTACGAAAATTTTCTTGCGTTAAATTCATGCTGACGTGACACGGACAGTTTTCAATTTGCCGCCAAATCGTAAACAAATGACAAATTAATAAAATAAACACACAATAATATTGGCAAAGAGTTCCATTTTCAAAATTTGAACTTACTTTTTTTTATATCGTTTACAAGTAGCCAGTTCTAAAAACTTTCAGTGTCGCCCTCGTACACTCTTTCTCCATATAAATTTTAACTATAACAAATATCACACATTTCCATGCGTGAAATATGTTTAAAAACTGGAATTTTTTCTTCACATAATAATATATAGAAGATGTCATCCAGGCTGAATTTCTACTGAATCTGCGCAGGACAGGATTATAGTGTACGAGTATATATGCAAACACAGATGCACTCTCTATTTCCTCACTAGTCCGAAGGGACGGTAATCCGATACGACCGGAGAATGATCAGATCACGGGGGAAAAACAATGCCAACTTCTTGACTCTCGACTGCTGCTAAAATTTTCTTGACCAAAGCACCTAATAACCGATTTTGGCCCGACCCGAGATTGGAACCGGGAACCTCATGATAAGCGACCACTTTCACAACTACTAGACCAACGAAGCAGACATTATGAAGTATCTAAAGAGAATAGTACTTGGAGAGAGTAATATGCGGACATTAATATCCTATATATTATTTTACATGACGTTTAAAAATTTTGGTGATCATTATCCTAATTGGTCATTTTTTTTCGCTATGCGTTATCACCTCCGAGGACTAAAAAGGAATGCCTTACAGTCAGATACCCAGACAAGTTCCTAGAAAGAAAAGCAGTCCTACCCCTACACTTAATCTTATACGAACAATATTTATATATTTTATTTTATTCTTAAATAATATTTTCAGAAAGTTATATTTGTTTTCTAACGCCGAGTAAGGTTCGGTCGGGTTAGTACTATTTATAACGCATGCCGATTCATTCGTTCATTCGTTGCAGCCTATCAAAATTCACAACTAAGGCTCAAAAGGCTTTTCTTCAAGATTAATGAAATATGTCGTGGACAACTAATTCTATTCTTTATTATTTTACTTCAGCGACCCATAAACGGACTCTCGTTGTACGAGGAGAGTATTTATCATAATAGCATGGCAGATCATTTGGCGATTGCAGTAACCAGATGTCATTTAAATAAAAATCATTATGTAAACCAGATGTCACTAATAACGCTGCTGTCTGTCGCCGGTTTGGCGTACACAAAATGGGTCATACCGCAACCAATCGCTTTTCAATAGTCGCCTTTTACGAAACTTACGGTATTATATGAACTGGATTCACTTATAACAGGACATTATAGTCTAACAATAATTACAAATAAACTGATTAAGACTGTAATAAGAGAGTTCGTATCACCATTGAACCATTGCCCTTATTGGTTGTTAAACTTTAGGTGATTATTAAAAAAACAATTTCTACAATGAAATACGATAACTTTTTATTTATTTACCTGTTGCATTTCGCTTTCCATCGTCTTCATTTTTAGATCATGTTCTCGTTTTTCCTCTTCCATCTGGGCTAAAGGATTCCTGAGGACAATTATTTTCTATTAAAAAAAGTAGTAATTATTTTTCCACATAACAAAAACTTGACCGTTTTGATTTTGTATCTCACATGCAGTTTCGAAATTCAACATACTCTTGAAATCTTTACAAAATATGAATAAAATTTGAGTAAATAAATAATAAATTAATTTTTTTTTGCAAAAAACGGTTAGGAGAAAAATAAGTCGGTAAAATTAAACTTATTACACATTTTATATAAACTGTGTATAAAATACGAATGAAAATATATTGTGTATTTGAAAATAAATAATTTGTGTCAGTTACCTATAAGTTTACAATATAAAAATAGAAATTTACTGGGCGAATATATAATTACAACAACATTTAATACACATTAGATATTTATTTATTGTAGAAGTAACTGATTATGATAAAAGTACAAATTTTCAACAAAAAAAAAATTCTTTTATTATTATCACGATAACCCCTAAATAAACACACAGGCGCAAATTATCTATTAAAAATAATATAGCAAAATGACTAGATACTATATTAAGGCATAAAGTGAAATACGTTAACAGCTTATGTGCGTCTCACTGCTGAGCACAATCCTCCTCTCATTTCTGAGATAGTTTTATGAGAAATACATGTCCACCGCGCTGCCCCATAGCGTGTTGATTGATTTCTTCTAATTTTTTTTTCAATTTCCCAGACATGCAGGTTTCCTCACGATGAATTCTTTTACAATTAAAAATTTCCTTGGTGCCGACAGAGATCGAACCCGAATTGCTCACGTATTGTAAAATTTACAGCGAACGCTTAGCCAAGTGAAGTCAGTCATATTTTCAACATAATATATACAGTTACCGTGATATATATAAAAATATTTATCTTTAAATTATTTCCGGGTCCGGGTATTCATCTATATGCAATACATCTATACGTAAAACCTATACGTAACCTTCATCATGCAGGAGAAATATAGTAGTGGAAGATAATGTTTATTTTTAAATAATTATAATAATATAGGCATCCGTTACCATTACAGGCTATTAAAGTTCACTGCTGAATGTAGGTCTCTCCCATAGATTACCCCATACGGATGAAATTTTCCATAGTTGCCATGCTTGGCAAGCGGGTTGGCAACCGCAGTTTTTTATTTTTTGTTGTTATTAGGTAGCGAGCGTGTTGACAACCGCAGTTTTTTTATTTTTAGCCGTTATTCGGAAGACGCTGCTGCGCATCTCCTGATTTGTTTCTCTCTGTCACCTCTTAAGACACCCACGGGATAATATGGGGTAATGGATATTCTATTCACATAACTCGTGTCTTTAAGTAAACTGTGAATCGACGATATGCAAGTACATATCGTCGATTTTATGATTTCAATATATTATAATATGGAATACAGTTTTAATCATTCAAATACGAAAAAGGACCATATGTATTTGTGTGTATAAGTAAACCATTACACGACTATGACAATATTAACATGTTTCACACGCCAAACAGTGACCGATTTTTTCTTTCCTTACTTGACAAGTTTGATTTTTTTTTTGTTTGGAGTACTAAATCAAAAATTATTAAAAGTACTGAATAATTAAAAAATAAATTATAACACACAAATAACTCTAACAATTCTCGGACCAACATAGTAGTTTCGTCATAGCGTCAGGCCTTCGGCAGATAATAAACTAAAAAAAAATTGTGTTTTAAAATAGTAACTGGCGATCATATAATATTATAATATAAGCACCACTACAATAACCAGATATTGATATGAGTAAGCCTGGCGTTCATAGATAATATAAAAACCATTATAATAAACAGATAATATGGGTACATAACTAACAATTATTGAATTATTACTGTTTTTGAGATTGGTGAATACCATTATTTCCTGTCTGTATTTTGATTTATGTTTTCGTTATATCACTATTACTATAATCACATGCACAAAGTATAAAATAACTACAACTTACTTTGTCTAAAGTACATAATATACAAAGCATCATTCGTTATTACATAATTATGTTATTTAATTTTTCTATTAATAAAACATGCAAGAAAACTCCAAACCTTCATTAAAAGCAACTATAATTCATAGGTGTAAGTAAATACGAAAAACAGTCAAAACTATGCACCCCGTGCTGTCGAATGAAAAGTGTTTAATGAACATAAAACACACACAAAAACTTGTGTGAGACTTACCAAACGGTCATGAAACTGTTCATCAGTCCTTGCGGGCACAAACTGAACACCAACACAACCATTGTTAACGTACAACACGTGGATGTGCACTAGCGTGCTCGCTCATTGCAGTGGCATCAACCAATATCTTAATATTTAATTATAACTACAAATGTTTATTTGTTAAATGGTCATTCCTATCATAGCAAAATTAACACATACCACCTTTTTATATGAAATATTTTAACGTAATATAAATACATTGTATCATTGTGTTAGAGCACAATACATTATACTGAGTTTATAAATTCTAGATTTTAATCATCAATTCAAAATTCATTTTTTATTGTATATTTATTTACAATAAGTAATATATTACAGAGAGCATCAGCCCTAATACAACACGTTCGACCGTGATCATAACATTATTCATTCAGTGCATGAACGTCCGCACTAAGAACGTCCGGAACGCAACGTATGTGTAATATTTCATTTGGCACAACGGCGCACGAACAATGCAACGTTAAAATCAAGACAAACTCAATTGTATCCATATAGGCATAAAGTGACACAGTTTAGTTAAAACACACCGGACTAGTATTTATCAACGGTATTCAATAACTGCTATTAATGCCACTGCAAGCGTGTACACAAATTATTATAATAAATGGCATCCAATCATGGATATTTAAAATTAAATGTATAATAAACTCCATGATCAGAAAATAAATGATCAGTCAGTATGCAGTAAACATGACGTAATGTTTCATTTCTGCATGCCCAAGCACATAACATTCAAATGGTAAAGAATGTTGTTGCAACTATAAAAAAAACATAAATAAAAAATCTGGTAGCTCACATATGCGACAGTTACATAAATGAGTTTTTACCGCGTTAAAGGTGACCAGACATGCAGGAATGAAATTTCATTACCGTCCGAATTTCTATCAGTCTTTTAGAACACACTTCAAAATATAATTTCCCCACAAAGAAAGTCTGGCCACCTTAAAAGCGGTGACAGCAGTATATAATATATTCATTTTGATTAATGATTATTATTAACTCACCAACCCTGTCTATTTTGGTAGTTGAATCATGCCTTTAAAATAATTTTAATGGAAAACTAATTACCGACAATTACGTTAGAATGGAAACCTAGCTCGTTTACAAGTTAAATGTTATTGTTAAGGCGTAATGTTAGAATTGCAGATTAATAACGAATAGAGAACACACATAAAAGAGACAGAAGATAATGAATTTGTTTGTCTTACTTGTTAGAATTTATCCTGTGTGGTTTGCCGTCGTGAGACAGGCCTGCCAGTTTCCGGCAGCGGTAGTTTTCGTAGTGGACGGAACTTGTTACGTCCTTTAAGTCCTGGAGATGCGTTCTGATCACCATGTTGCGCAGCGCCAGGAAGTCACAATGTTCCAAGTTTTCCACTGTAAATTAAATTAAAAGAAAATAGATATGGGTACAATTCGGTCAATCCGCACAGCGCTCGCCGTAAATTTTGCACAAGATGAAGAAACAAAAAATTTTGAACAACACCTGTAGACACCAATGAAATTGTTAAATGCAATTTTAAGTGCTGATTTACCACGTTCTCGGCGGGTGAAGAGAACATTGTGAGGAAACCTGCATGTCTGCTATTTGATCAAAAATCCTCTCACAAATTAGAGAAGGCATGTGCTAAGTAGTGTGACGTATATATGCTGTAACTTGATTCATTCAATCTGCTTTCCGTTTGGTACACAAATACCCACAGAAATTATTTTATAACTATAGAATCGAGCTATAAGGGCCACAAAAAGTGGAGGTGATATATTAAAAGCTTCAGACTTCCTTTTTGGAAAACTGTATCCATAACAATAGCTTTAAATATAAATAGAAAATCATTATGTTAAATAACCGTTTACTTTCTTACTTCCCACCAGCTTGGAACAATCCACTAACTACTATAAATGACACATTTTAGATTACTAGACAACTTGGGAGATAGTTGCTTCTTTCACAGGTATTTAAGGTTTGGAATCCAAACTTTGGATATTTTTACTATAGTAGGTAACTTTACGTTTATCACAAGCATTTCTTGAAATTTCTTTTAGTCAACGTCTACCATATTCGCAGCACGAAATCGGGTAGCGGATATTCTTATCCGGCTACTACACGATCATGCTGACCGCGATAATAAATATTCCCCGAGGGTTAAGGATTTAAATCCTTGCTACCAATAATTTTATTGAAATTTGTTATATTATTAAGAAAAGAAGAAAGATATTTAACATCATATTCAGAAATCATATTCACTGTACATTAAAACAGATATCTAATATACAAAATATAAAATAAACACTTTTTTTACATAGACTCCACGCACTATTGAAAAAGAAACATTTAAAATCACACAAAATTTACAGCTTATTCAGTCAATCTGCGACCATCACGGCATCTGTTTGACCACGGACTATTCAGTGTTTAACAATATTCTTAGAGCAAACACAACATACATATGTAACAAATATATTGAATTAAATAAAACAATGTATGTTTATTTATTTTAATGTATACAAATATGCATATAATAAATAAATTTTAGCTTTCTGCACTACTTCTCCATATAAAATTTTGACTTTATTTAATCTCATACTCCTCCGTGCTAGTGTTGCCCAAAATCGGTCTTGGTCTTGCAGTCTTGGTCTTGTTCTTGCATTTTTGCAAGACCAAGACCAAGAACAAGACCGCCTCTTTTTAGCAAGACCAAGACTGACCGTGCAAGATTTGCGCAAGAACAAGACTAAGCTTGCGAGACTCTTGCGTCTTGCAGTTAGGACTGAGTGTCGTTTCAGGGAGTATAGGAGTTCGGATATACGCTTAGGGACTCTATGAGACGTAAAAAAATATAATGAAAACATATTGGAAAATTGGACTTATGCGCATTACGAACAATACCATAAATATACATAGCGAATGAAAATATCCATTAAAAGAAAAAAGAGTGCATCCCTAGTTTTGACATTTGGCACTATGATAGTGCGCGGCGTCTTGTTGTCGGCGTCATCAAAGGTCGGATACTGACCTGTCAAAGAAATTGTGCAGCTATTTGAAAGTACAAGGTCAAGATACACGTGCCGGCGGCTACTATTGATATCGCATACAATCGTCGCCGCCGCGCCACACGCACTACATTTAACACTGTTTGATTGCAGCCACAGAGTACATGTTTCAAAGAATAAAATAAGTTTCCGGGTGCTCAGAATGGACACGAATACATTATCCTGATCTCGCAAGAAATATTGTAATTAGATAATAAGTAGGTATCATAATAATTTATTCTAGTAACTAATTATTATAAAATTAACTATATGGATTTATAATAATTACTTACTATTATTGTTATTATTATTACCTAAAAGATAAACATGTTCAGTAAGTTCACTGCAAATCTCGACTTTTGCAAGTGTGTGTTTTTAAATCACAAAGTGCTCGAATATGTCGTCACACATTTGATAAATATGGTTGACACCATAGCACTTTTAGAACACTTGAAATGTGTAAAAATGGATCTGGATCTTGTCTTTAAGGCTTAGTTATTAAGGAGTTGGAGGGGTACCTAGGTAAACCCAGAGCCGTCATCTCGGAAGACATTTTAGACTGTTGGAGGACGCATGAGACAAAATATCCAATTTTATCGAAGATGACCCGTGATTTTCTTTTAATACCTGCAACTTTTAGTACCTGCTGAGAGATTATTTTCTAAAGCATCATTAGTGATTAGAAAACATAGAAATAGGTTAAGTGATGAGTCAGCCAGATGATTACTTTGTATTAATTCTTTGTCAAAAGAATAAATATAAAGTAACAGTAATGTCAAAGCTGTTGTGTACATACTGTGAAGTAATTTAATTTGCATCGTATTTTATTTTTTATTTAAATAAATGGTATATTGTATAAATCTTTTAATCCATTTCATATATGGTGAGGGTCCATCAATCTCTTTCTAGAGAGATAATGTTATTTAAAATACAGTGTAGTTATTGCCATTAATTTATTTTTATATGTATGTTTAACCATGTTTTAGCACATGTAAGCTTATTAAATGTAAAAGTTTATTAAGAAACTGACGCCCGTGGCAGTGGGACACTCAGTTGGTTGGAGCATCGGCACGGATCGCTTAGGTCGTGGGTTCAAACCCCACCCGGTGTCAGTTGATTTTTCGAATTTCTCATTAAATGTTTAGACATTTATTAATATGGTTGGTCTTTACTATGGCTATGTTAATTCAAGCTCAATATGTACCTACTCTGTTAAGTTGTTCTAAGATCTAAAGTAACGTTTAATAAATAGTAATAGGCTAATAGGTCATTGCGAGACTTGCGAGACTCTTGCTGCAAGACCAAGACCAAGACCAAGACTCGGAGCATAATACCAAGACCAAGACCAGGTGTATTGGCGCAAGACCAAGACCAAGACTTGCTAAGTCTCGTCTTGTTCTTGCATTTGGGCAACACTACTCCGTGCACGCAATATGCTTAAAAAGCGGTACAAAACTCTTCGTGTATTAATATGATACAGATTTCTTTCATTCTACAGATGTTTACCTATATCATTGTTTTTGGTTTTTGTCTAGTAAATAGCTTTAAAGGGCAAGCCTAGCTACCAGGGGATGCTACATGAAACGTGTTTCCTCTTTCCTCTATGTGTGACGCAACCTGTAATCGAAATGGATGCTTGTTTGATTGCACTAGCACTATGCTTGCAACATATTAAATATTAGTATGATTACCTTCAGCAATGCCCCAAGGATACTTCCGGCCTCGAATCCGCCTCCCCTCGGTCTCAATGACAGTATTTGCACCTACGACCGCGAAGGGCACTCTGGCACGCAGGGCTTTGGTCGCCTCCGCACCGTCGCCCTCCTCGCCACCGCTCTCAGGGAATTCATAGATTTTTATCTTGTGCTGGGCTATTTCTTTCATTATCTGTTGAAAATAAAACATTTCGTAGATATAACAAATTTTCTTTAATTTTATTATAATATACCATGGAATTGGGGTATAAAAGCATCCGTTACACATTACATGTCCGTAGTTGTTGTATAGAATAGCCAGATGTCCGGCATTTAGCAAATATGCTTGTTTTCTTTTTGTACTTATTATGGTTGTATCCATACAAAAAATTATCTGTAACGAGGAAGAAGTAAGACATGCAGAAAACAAAAAGCCAATCTGTCTGCTAATCGACGCGATTATGTCACATCACCTCACTAACTTAGTGTAGTAGTAGTAGACTTTTTATAAAATGATGATATAAAGTTGGAAAAAATTACTTTGCCAATTTCCGCTCAATAATATTATTGAGCCAATATTGGCCAAGTAAATTTTTCCAACTTTAATATAATGGATTTCCGCAAAGTAACGCCTGATTCTATTAATTACGATGATATGATTTTCTTAAGGTCGCTTAAGAAAGACTAAACCTTTGTAGTGGTCAAAAAAATGACCCCAAACACTAGATCAAAACATTTTATAATACAACAATGAACCAGGAAAAAGTTTATGTGACTTTAAATATGTCTAGCCGATCATTAAAAACTGGGTTTATTGGCTTATTATGGCTTTATTGGTTGAAATCAAGAAAATGTAAATTGAATGTTACATGGTTGATCAACGAATGGAGCAGGAGGATGTTCAAAAAAACGAAAATGGTCTCATTTATGTTGCAAGCGAATATTATTATACGCACAGTAAGATTATTTAGAAATGTAGGATGAATGCTAAAATCGCTCAGCTGAAAAAGAAACACTCCATATGCAAAGAAAACATTTTTCAAAGAGTAGCCAAATTTTATATTTAAGTTAAAATATATAAATCTATAATGACATACGTTCTTGCAGTTTATGAAAATTCGAGTAGAGAGCTTCTACTTTTATTTGAAACTATCCCAAATTGAATGTGATTTATTGACGACAACTATGCGTACGCGCGCTCCTCTGTTGCGATTAAATTCACGAGGCGACCCTTGCGAATGTGTGCGTGCGTAGTAAAACAGTTGGCGTTAAATATTTATGAATGACAATCAGTTAAAATAATGCATTACCACGCATTCTGGATTTAAAAAATAAAAAGGATGTTTGTAATTTTTTAAATTAATTTTTCTTCACCATTCGCCCATATTACTTATTGTGATCCTTCCCTGCAAATTTGGCCGTATATTGCAAAATTTGTATACTACTGAAAAGGAAGACAAAGACAATTTTTACACTAGATTGTCGATATCGACATAGTAAAAAGTTAGTAAAAGACAAAACATTAATAAGAGAAAAAATTATTTCACATGATAAAACGAAAATCATAAAACATTTATAACTAATGTATTTTTTGCATTATGCTGAGATGTGTATCATTACAGCTAAATAGAATCATATCCAAAGCAAAGAAACACAAGAAAGCAGGATGACAATAAATATAGATTATATTTACTATATACGTATCACTCAAATATATATTCACCTGTTCCTTAAACTCCTTGCACTCCTCAGGCGTCATAGTATCGGCCTTAGCGATGACAGGTATAATGTTGACTTTGTCGCCGAGCCGCTGCATGAATTCGACGTCGAGTGGCTTCAGACCGTGTCCGCTGGGCGCGATAAAATATAAGCAGCAGTGGACTCGGGTGTCCGGCGGCGCCGGCTTCCGAGCGACTCGAGATTCCGCATTCAAAAACTCTTCGTATTTCGACTCAACAAAGTCGATTATTGGTTGCCAACTATAATTTGAAAACATCACATGATAATGTAACAATAACAAAGTGGTTCTGTCTATGTATTATTATTAATATGCATATTTCTTTTGTGTTATTGACTGGTTGAGTGCATGATGTACTTAAAATAATATGTAAACTATTATATACTATAAAGCACACACAGACTTTAAAAAAATATTATTTTCACATAACAGCTTCTAAAGTCAGTCGGTTTCAAAGACAGAGTATAAAAGTATAATTAAAGCACTGAGTTCAGGAAGATAGTTTTAATAATAATAATACTTTTTTTATCAGAATTCATTCCATATGTGTTAGTAACCAAATATAAAATTATTTATCCTTCTGAGTGGTCTAAGAAATATCAATAAGATCAAGGTAACAACTAGAATGTCGTTTAAGTAGTTAAATTAAAATCTTCATCCTGAATGATTATATCCTAGGTACCAATTATTGTGCTGGTGCAAAGACACAAACTTAACACTTAGTTTATTTTAATACATAGATTTTTTTTTTAAATCTGAATCGACAAACTAAGGAGAAAAAAGTGATGAACTCACATGAAAATTATTATTATTCAACTTCTTCTTTCTCCTCAACAGCCTTTCATAATCCATTGCTGGATATTAGCCTCTTTTACCCTAACTTGACAACTACAAGTAGATCCTATAAACTTCTCTTTAACGTTTCAAGTTGTGATGTCTACTTGACAGACGCTTTGGTGGTGGTTGAGTTGGATTCACTGGCATTGGTAATGCTGCCGTCCATCACCAGTATGTGGGATTTATACCGGCAATTTCGAATCCTTCGAATCTGTGGCCAGATCTTCGTTTCTTGGTTATCAGGGATACTACGTGCCGGTGAGATATAGGTATTTTGAAAAAAAAATTGTGATAACCGCCTTACTCCCCGTTATTAATAACAAATACCACAAAATAAATAATAGTTAATACCGTAAATAAATACTGGAGGCCGCGTGACATAAATAGTTGGTCCTGCGGGGTTAGCCAAGCTGACTTTCTACATTCGTTAACGCTAATAGAAAACTATAAAAATAAATAAATCAACGTTAAGTTACGTGAATTAACGTTGAGATTTTTGAGGTTGTGTCATTCCCATTCATATTTATAGTATTGTTGTCATATTTAGTTGTATTAGCGGTATCGATAGTAGAAATTCAACTTTGTTTTTAACATTCAAAACAGAAACATTAATGTAAATTTTCGGGTCTGCTAGTGATGAGTTTTTTTCTTCTTAATAGGATAAGGCCCATTATACATCTCCATCTATCCTCGATTACGAATCAAAATGCAAATGCGTTGTCACCCATGAGGACCAAGATGGAATGCCTCTTTTCCGGTAAAAAGGGTCTCCGGTACTCTACACTCACCATACGAAACACAGCAGCGTAAAGCTGGTAGTTTACGCTGGTATTCTACAAGTAAACTTAAATGCTAATTGGCATTAAAGTTTGTTTACAGCCCCATAACAAACATTTTAAATTAAAACCTTAGTTTTGTACATCCAGCTAACAGCAATAAGCATTTATATTTTATTTTACTAAGATGAACTTATGGTTATCATCTGACCTGAGAAACCCAGTCACGACCGGCCTGAGCCCGGATTTCTATACAGACCAGATTTTCTCTACACCGGCTTTACTGGTAGGTCTAAAGGTCAGTGCAAGTTAGCAAGTGATTACGACTTTAAACTCATTACTTGTGAAGTATTTTACAAAAATTTGGAGAAACTAACTTTTTGATAGCTCTTGTTGCTATTGCTTATCAAAATGCATATTTTTTGTTAGGTAAATAAAGCGTAATTACAATCTATTGCCGAAAAGCCAGCTGAAAATCGGACTTTTTTCCAAAAATCGGAAGCAACCGGATCTCCAATTACACTACATTGGACATGTGGATTACACGGTTAAGATGAAGCACATATTTAGGCATGTATTATTTTGGCCTTGACTCTAGTAATAACAGTTTAATTTATGCAAATCATTCATTAAGGAAGTGTGTCACAGCGGTCAATTCAATTTGAATTTATGTACAAACGGGCATATCCATGAATGATACACTATGGGAGGACATAGTAAAGTTGCAACTTATACAGCTGATATTGCTGGACACAAGCCTCCTCTCATCTCTAGAGGGTTATGAAGTGAATAGTCCGTTGAGCTGTTTCAGTGTGTGTAGGCGGACATCACACATTCTCGAAATATTTTTATCTTTTAGGTACTATGCCGATTTCGCCGCGATATTTATGCTTCACCGACGAGAATTTAATATATTAGCACTTAAAATTACATTTAACAATTTCATTGGTCCCAATTGATCACACCCAAGTTTGTCACATACTGTTAAATTTCACGGTGAGCACTAAGCCTTTTTAACCCCCGACGCTAAAAGATGGGTGTTATAAGTTTGACTGCCATGTGTCTGTCTGTCTGTGACACCGTAGCTCTTACACGGGAGAACCGATTTGGGTGCGGTTTTTTTTAATTTAAAAACCGGTTTACTAGCGATGGTTTTTAGATATGTTTTATCAAAATTGGTTCAGCCGTTGCAAGGTCATCACTCGTCAGCTGTTTTGTTAGCTGCGGTAGGGTTATTTTCGGGGGTTTTTTAAATTTTCATTTTAAGTTATGTTTAATAAATGGGTTAAAGTTAAAAAGTTAAAGTTACAGCCTATATACGTCCAACTGCTCGGCACAGGCCTCCTCTCATTTCTGAGAGGGGTTTAAGGCAAGGAAATGTCCGCCGCGCTGCCTTAATACGTGTTGGCGAATTTCACATGTTTTTGAAATTTTTTTTCTTATATCCCAGATAAGCTCAGACATCCTCACGATGTTTTCCTTCACCGCCGAGCACGTGGGTAATATATGGGTGTGTGTCAGTAACATTTTGAATATCTGTTTTTCGTTGCGTATTTTAGTAATTTAGGTGTACCTATATATACATGTACGCAACTTCATGGGGCCTTAAACTAAGACATCTGGTATTACCGTATTATACCATCGGAAATTAGTTTCCTAAACGTAGTCATATGAAGGTTCATCTTGCCTAATGTTGAAACAACTGTGCATTGTATATAGACTAATAATTATTATCATTTTACAGACATGTGACATAAATAGATACTTTCAACTCACCAATTGCTATTATCAACTGCGTCACCAAATCCAGGAGTATCGACGATCGTAAGAGTGAGGTTAACACCATTTTCCTTCAACAGAACAACACTTGTCTCTACTCCTACAGTTTTCTTGACTCGCAACGACGGGCCCGGGTGTTTGTCTCTATCGTACACTTCCGTTAGAAACAACGAGTTTATTAATGTCGATTTTCCTAATCCGGTCTCACCTGCAAAAAAATAAACGTACACGTTTCAAAAAAAGCAATCTCCAACTTCTATACCATGTGACTAAGTCATGTAACTTTAGTAGTTTCTGATAAGAAACTGTTATAGTTACTTATGAGAAACTCTAACAAAGTACTCTACCATAGTAGAGGTAGGCTGAGATCTATAGACGGTACTTTGACTTTGCTCAGATATTCCTTTCGAGTTAAGACAATGTCGGTATTTATATAATTTCTAAGTCGTGCTGAGTGCGCGTTTAGCAAAGCCTAAGTTAACGAAATCGACGACTTATGTAAAACTTATGATATTATCCGAAACCACCGTATTAATTTGAAATTGTTGTTTTTATGTTACTCAAATGATTTATAACAATAAATAGATAGTTTTAGGCAGTCTCCTAGTTTTAAATAGGAATAATCCATTTTCTATTAACGTAATTTTAAACCGATTTCAAATTTCTTAAAACCTTATTTTTTTATTTTTTTCTGATTTTGCACTCTTCGTATCCGTTCCCGTTCTCATACGCCCGTTTTCTATTTCATATAATAATATTTAATTTATAAAATACAATTTGGACTGTTTTTGTTTTTTAAACATTAAATATTTTATATTTTATGCAATAAAATCAAGAACATAATGCGTGAAATAAAGCATCTATTATTTTATTGACTGTTTGGGCCTTAGCATAAGCTTAGCTTCTTAGCCTGATGCAACTATAAATTGAGAACCAAAGATTATACTAAGCGTATACTCAGCTAAGTCTGAGCTAAGTCAAAGTACGGTCTATAGGTTTTTTTTTATAGGATAAGGTGCCAAACGAGCACACAGTCCACCTGATGGTAAGTGGTTGCTGTGGCCCATAGACATCTACATCTATCCTCTATTACAAATCAAAATGCAGATGCGTTGTCACCCGTTAGGACTAAGATGGAATGCCTCGTTTCCAGTAAAAAGGGTCTTCGGTTCTCTACACTCACCATAGGAAACACAGCAGCATTAAGCTGCTAAAAATCTATAGATCTCAGCCGTAGAAATCAATAGAACAAAGCCACGCAAATATTAACTTCATTAATAAATCATTGGATACATACAATATTGACATAAAAATGAACATAAAATAAGAATAAGTATATTGTTTGTAAAACATAAATACAGATTTTTATGGTATAGTCATATGATATTTAATTAGCTAAATGAATATGCAATCTGGTGAAACTAGTTTCGCATGCACCTCATTATGATTACTGGCTTGCAGCGGTTGTATAGTAATAAAATTCATTATTACTTACCCACTACCATCAGTGTGAACTCGAATCCTTTCTTCACAGCCTTCCTGTATACCTGGTTTGGTAAGTTTGCGAAACCGACATAGCCGTCTAATTCTTTGGTTTTTGGTTTATCTATCTTAGGTAACTCCGGTTTTGGCGCTACGGGTGGATGTTCGACCTTCTGAAAATAATAAACAAAAATTAAAATCACAAAATAAAAAATCAAGCATAACATTTAAGACAATATAATAATCATAAAAAGACAACTTCCCGGAAACACATGATCAATCCTAAACATGTTTTTATATACCCGATGTTTCGCGACTTTTTTTTGTTGGATAACCAGGCTACCTTCAAGGCCTCCTCGAAGGGGTTCCCGCCTTGTCGTAGCGGGAGAGGGTTTCATCACCCGCGGTAAACAAAGGCGAAGGGCCGTCCCGAGGAGGCCGCTTCGGATGCGTGGAGTCAACTGTGTTTTTGGCGACTTCAAAAAAATGGGTGGTTAACAATCCGACTTTTCGTATGTATGTTACGCGATATCTTCGTCAATTATAAACAGATTAAACAATATAACCGATTAATTTTGACTTCAGGGGTGGTCTCATATAAATTTGGTGAAAAGTTCCACCCCTGATTGCTAAATACTCGACCGCTTCTCAATTTTCAGACGTCGTTAAGTATTGTGGTGTCACAGTCACTTTGACTTAAAGTGATAGAGACAACACGACACTTCACGGCATCTTAAAATTGAGCATCGGTTGAGTATTTGGGCATAAGGGTGACAAAATAGGTGATGAATTTTTTAAACTGTTTGAGATTGAGATTGTGATATTCTTGAGTCCACTCAAAGAGGTAAAAATCATCCTTCATCCATATCCAGTGAGGCGGCTATGCGCAGGTATTTCCGCGTGGTAAAAAAGGCTCCTTGCGTCAAATAAATTTCAAAGATCATATTCTCTGACATGTTTTGTATGTGTATCTTTATAGGTACAACATGACATATTATGTTCGCTAATTTAAGCAATTGACATTTGTTTAAACGGCATTCATATGTATCAGAGGTTGAGTATCGTTAAGGAAGGGTAATAATGACAAATATTCATTTAGTGGCTAACTCACTCCCATTTATGTTGTTGGCATGTTGCTTTAAAGAGTGTGATAAGTTACATTTATTTTAATTATTTTCGTTATAAAAATAGATTATTTCTTTTATAGAAACCTTCTCTGTATTCCTGAGCGAAGTAGGAACGGATGGTGGCGCTGTGGTAGGCACAGGTGGTGCGGACATCTGCGGAAGCGCAGTCGTTTTGCCTGCGTCCACTGACACACTGTTGCTGATCTTGACTCCATTCGCCTCGTGATGGTTACTTTCGTGAGGTTCCGGAAGAGTGGCCGAACGTTTTGACAGTGCGTCTTTGAGCGCGGATGGAGCGACGGGGGGCGCCGGCGGCGCACCACTCGGTAGACCCGGTACGTTCACTCCACCACCACTTACTGAGTCTGACTTGAAGAACAGCTCCCGTTTACTTTGTAACTGTAAATAAATATAAAAAAAAATCGTTAGTTTCACAGAAAAATTACATGATAATGACAATATTTTTGTACATATATATTTTTATAGAAGTAAACACAGTCTATTCGATAGTAATGAACGATGACGCCAATAGACACCAACATTTATCCTTGATCAAGAATCAACAAAATGCAGATGCATAATCACCCCTGAGGACTAAGATGGAATTTCTAATTAAGGCCGGTATTCTATGTTATTTGACTATGATCTGCGAGCGTGGTGTTTTCCCGGTGGGGCCGACCCATTCGTGCTGCAGCTATAATATGCTGTAGTGTACCTAAACTACCTACATTAAAATATCGACAGTCGTAAATCGATCTGCGTATATTTATGCTTACACACATTTCGTTATTGTATTGATAATCGAGACTTGGACAACGAGAAGTCGTAAATTATACATATATAAATAATTGCACGAGAGCGAGTGGGTAGGTGGTGGCGCTTGTCGGTTTGTACGCACACCGTGATGTCGGTCTAGCCGGCTCCGCGCTGACGTCGAGTGACTCACCGACATCAAGGCGACGGTGTAATACTATAGCTATCTGTGTCAACATTCAAGAGATTTACCCATTTGATGATTAAGCTACATTTAAAAGATTCACTTTTAATCTCATTCAATTTCTTGGCATATTATTCAAGAAATTAAGAAGGTACCTAGTAATAGTAAACCTTGTATGTATTCTGTAGGCTTTTCTTATAAAATTAAAGGTAACATGCAAACACATAATCAACTTATGGTAAGTTAAAACACATAGACACCTGCATCTATTGTCGATTAAGAATCGAAATACAAATGGATGCACAGGCACGCCTGGGTACAAAGATGGAATGCCTCATTACCAGTGAAAAGAGTCTCTCATTCTCCTCTCACCACGCGAAAATCAACGTAGTATTACTTATGCTGCTATTTCACGCTGGTAATGTGCCCTTCAACGGACGAGCCGACATGTTCCTTCTGAAGTCATATTACACTGCAGCGTGGCTCTACAACGACAGTTTGATATTTAGCAATTGTAGTTATGCTCGCTATTAGAAAAAATATGTCTAATCAAGTGTTGCAATCATTGTAAAGCACGTAAAAGCGAAAGCGCCTTATAACAACGCTCTCGTGTATTGCTACTTAATAATAGGAGCAAGAATCGCGAAAGCGGTGATTCACGCAGAACTCGTACCCGTAACTGTACACGTGAATCATATTCGAATGCACATCTTTGCACTAACGAGCTTCAGGTTCGTAATACGCTCCGATATAAACACTGCTCATGAGCAGATGGTAATTAAACGTATTCAAGTACGAGCATTCACTGGGCTTATTCGAGCGGCTCATTTTCAACGGACGTGTATTGACGGGTGGAATAATATTTACGCTCAAGATTTCTCTTTGTTCATTCAAATGTCAACAAAGTTATAAAAGCTAGAAATGATTTATGTCATTTATTCAAAATAAATAATTGATTGAATTTAATTAGTGTCTACAGTTATCCGATGCTCATTTCTTGTAATAAGCGTATCTCATGACACATTCATTAAGAATGACGCTTCTGTAGAAAGAATGCAAACTTGTGCAGTCTTATTACAATAATTGTAATAATTATTATTATATTAAACGTGGTTTATTGATATTTCAGGCTTATAAATGAGCCTTTGTCATGAAGGAAGTCTCTTAGTCGCAGCGCAACATTATTCACGAAATTTGTCATTTGTTGACAAATTTCAGACTTTACATTTTAGTTCGCATATTTTCCACGGGACTACTTTATTGAAACAGACTCTAGTTTAAACTTGAAACTACTTTTTGTAATAAAACTGGTGCAATTAAGATAAGTACGACGACCGAAATAACCCGCGGCAGTCCATACGAATATTAGAGAAATCTTCAAATACAATGGAATACTTATAAAGGCAAAGTTGATATTACAATTATATTCATTTAAGCGAATCAACATGAAGTTATCAACGTCGTGTGTTTCTTGTTGACAAAAAAAAACGATTTATAATCTGTGACTCGGATTAGATGTAATGACACCAAGAAGAAGTTGGAAGAAGCCTCAAACAATATTTATGAATATAACTTGTTTTCATCAAACTGAATAAAACTACGGGTTTTATCACTTTAATATTAACATTTTTAAATTATTAGTTAACTCAAACGCGAAAATAATGCATTTTGACCAATTTGCATTACTATGCGTAACCTATATAGACGTACGCTGACTGCGACACAGTACTAAAGTACACTAAAAATAACAGGAAATAAAGTCATTAAGGACAAGTGTGAATAAAAATCCAATTACCATTTCTTTTTTAACAGCGAGCCAAGTAGGGTAAGCACGGGAAGTTTCACTGAGGTGACAGCTGTACACACGCAGCAAATGCAACATGGACATGCGCCGCATTAAGCATATGGCACATTTCATATTAGTGCCCTTGCACAAATTTGTGTTGCTCATTGAAAACTTAACTTGGCAACGATAACTTTGGGGAACGTTGCATCACTATAACGAATCACTCACTGATCGCTTTCAAGGCAGTTTGTGATCCATCCGGTGTTTATGAAGACGTAAACATTGTAGGAACGCAAACAAAATGAAATCGATGAAATACCGTTAAAGAATTTGTTTGTTATTATAAATGCTAAACGAATAAACAAATAATTTATAATTTGACGAAAGATTACGGTAATGACTTGCAATGATTTTATCTTTAGTTTTCATTCAAAAATAACGGTACTTACCGCTATATCGATATTTGCTTTTTTCTTTTCGCGTTTTTTTATACTTAATCTTTTTTTAATAACATGGAACATTTTAACGCATCACTAATAACAACAAACTGTCCTCTATTCTGGAAGGTTGTTGGGCTACTAATCAATTGTTTGACAATTAATAGAGGAAAAATAACCAACAAATGAGTAAAATCGACGTTGTAACCTTCACGGTAGTAGTTTACTAGATACAACAAGCGAACACCGCTTTGCCCACAATTAATTTTACATTATTGTTTGCACAGAGATGTGTCACAATAAATACCTACGATCCCAAACGCACACAATATCTGACTAATGCTTCTACATCTATTCCTGCCGTAACTTCGGTAAAACAGGTGATAGACATTGTCAACAACATGACGCTGGTTTATTTAAACAAGTGTGAAATAATATGATATATTTGTTAAAATAGTTAATTGTATATATCTTTTCAAATTACCTGTACATTTCAATATTTCAAGTTCGTCTTTAGCGTTAATAGCGCTTGATCGAGATCGACATACAACATACCTAACTTTAGGAAGTTAGAAAGTTTAGTACGACTAGACCTTTGTCGCTATTAAACACACAATTATTTTCAAACTGCCTTTATGAGTCCACTGCAGAACACATCTCAATATCAAAAGCTTTGCCAAACATTTAAATTGTCAGCCTTAATTCTTTATTGTATTATTCAACAAAATGTCTTCTCAGACCTTTGATTCACCAAATTAAGTAACATGCAAATACACATCGATATCACATTCTGTTAAAATGTTACGTTATAACAATGATGTCTAAAATATGTAATAATCCCTCAAAATTTAGAGCATTAAGTATAATATGTAAAAGTATGTCAAGATCGGTTTACAGTTTTTATTTTTTCATGGTTCATGAATTATCTGGCACCAGTTAAACTAAAACGAAACGTACAAATATGAGCTATTCACAGTATGTATAATTTATCCCATAATTTATGAAATTTACTTAATTAGTAGGCGAGTTTCTACCTCAGAACATTTACACTCATCATCATCTTTATTTTAATTATCATTTTATGTATTATAAAATGCAAGTGAAAATGTCTAAGCAATTGAGCTGCCGCTCCCAGATTAAGATGGATACCAATCATTACACGATTGACTGGAGCAGCTATTGTACCCTAAACCGTATCGTCGCGGTAGATGATCATTAACCACCGTTTGGTAAATTAATCGCGACTAGAGCCTAGAAATCTCCTTTATAATCATTCGTTACTATTTTCCTTACTTATCACAACTACTACTGATAATGTAACTAATTAAGATTGATACTAACTAGTAGAAGAGGAGCCCATGACCCTAAATGGAGATTAACTCGAGACCTATTATATTTTGTAGATTAGTTGATAGAAAGAAAAAAAAAGTTATGTTTCCCCTTCCAGTGACGGGGGAAGCGTCTACAGATTTTCAAAAATGTAAAATCTACTACAAACTACTACTACAGATGTTCAAAAATTAATTCTAGCGACTCAGGTATTCAAAGGGGATGTTAAGTGAACCCTAAAAATTCTCCCATTCAAAAGACTGACGATTTGGAAGTGAGGCAAGCGCGTAGCGAATTTTTGAAAATGCGAAAAAAAAATCGCCATAATGAAATACTCGAGCGTGTCAGATTAATATACAGAAGGTTCAGCTTGAGGTCCCAGTTCTGGTAGCTTAAAATCTGACGATTATTTTGAGGGATATTAATAATCTGACTGCTAGAAATAATCTTTTATGAACTTTTTTTCTCAATAACTATAAAATGTGACTGTGAATGGGTGCGGATAGCACGAGTCAGAGATAGGAAAAAAGTGAAAGGAAGAGAGAGGCGCTGAGTGGGTATACATGCTTTACTCCAGCTGCAGGCTCTCATCTTCATAGACGATTTTTAGTATTTCAGCTTGTGGAAATCGGCAGTTTACATTTATTTTGTTAATTTTGCATTATTTTCTACAAAAAATTTCAACCACGCGAATGTCAAGACAAGGTTTTTTTTACAACTTTGTAACCCTCCCATTCCCTTAGGTTACACTCTCGTCAGATTTTCTAAATGCACTCTTTTCTGCCGACTTCCAAAAAGGAGACGGTACTCAATTCGACTGTATGTTTTTTATGTGTGTTACCTCATAACTTTTTACTGGGTGAACCGATTTCGATGATTCTTTTTTATTTGAAAGCTGGTACTTCTCGTG